ACACAGCCTACATCTTATTAATCCCAACATATACCACCTACACAGCCTACATCTGATCAATACCCCCACATATACCTACACAGCCTATATCCCATTAATCCCCTACATATATCTACACAGCCTGCATTTAAACCCAAACATACACCCATACGGCTTGCATCCCACTGAATGCACACTTCATGTAAAACAAAGTGGTCTAATCATCTAGGATATACTACCTTACCTGGCTTTAAAAGGATGCTCCCAGTGTAGTAAGGCGTCTTTGGCGGTATCCTGTCGCAACAAAATCACCTTTATATCAGTGAGCTGAAAATTAACTTTAGCTGCACACACTTCTACATAAACGTACTGTACTGATCGACTTACGTGCTTCAAGCGACAAATGATTTGAAAAATAAAATCCTCTTCCTCTCTTTCACCTTCAAATTCTACAAGCAAAGAATATATTTACCCACTACGTTTTCCTAACATGGGTTAAGTCATAGGCAAAATATATTGAAATCTCCGGGTTACTTGACGGTACACCAGGCCAATGTTCCCTCGTTCTGTATTTTTATCACCCGTCTTTTGTATTGATATTGTAAACAGAATTCCCATACCTTCAACAAGCTGAGATATAAAACCCTTCTTCAAATATAAGACTTCATTATCCACATACTGTAAAAACATTCTACGAGGGAAAAAAAAAAACAATGATGCCATTATCAATAGTTATTTGCAAAAAGAACAAAATTCAGAGTTCATAGTGATGAGTCGAAATCACGAATTTGCACCTTCTGTCCAGGCAGCGAAAACCCAGGGATGTCATAAATGTCCGAAAACCTGCAGAAAACAAAATGAGGGTACATGAACAAATATTTCCCTAATACCTTACAAACAACAAACTTGTAAACTTTAATTAGATCTGAATGGCAGCCATCGAGCTGGCTCGTTTACCATGTGTAAGAAGAAAAAAGATTTCTTTAAAACCTCTCTCCTAGAGGAACTTACCAGAAGGAAGAGGGAAGCTAAGCTCAGTAACTGCTGTACAATATCTCTCCACCAACTGGAAAAATACAACTTCGCGCATCGTGCCTCGCAATGACCTACAACACATTAGCAAGGTGTACGGTCAATATTCAACTGCAGTCATTGCCTTTTGTAAAGTAAAAGGTCAATTTTTACAGACCGAGATGTGAAACTTACAGCGGTAAAGTGAACGGGTTATCGGTCAACTCCAACGCTTGTTTAAACAGGCGTAACAGCTGTTCGGACTGGCGAGCCTGCCGAGAAAGAGACAATCAAATTAACGAACGAACGAACGAACGATCACCCGACCGAACGACCGATCGAACGAACGAACAAACGGAAAAGCAAAGGAGGAGCGAGCGAACTAACAAACGAACGAACGAGCAAACGCGCTGTAAATCCTCAAGAAGTGCAATGGCAAAGTCAGCTTTCTTCTTTATTTACAAGCTACCAACTGAAATTAGAAAAATAGCATATCATAGGTATCGTAAAGATGCATTTTTGTGGCAAATAAAAAAAATCTTTTCCCGTGGCTATTGCAAACCAACTTTGTTACTCTTGGTCTACCAGATATCAGTTTTGCAGGTTCTACCTTTTCAAAAAATTTCCATCTGTGGTCTTGAAATTTTACAAAATTGTCTCGCTTTCTTTGTACAGTGATTTTCACAATTTTCCTCCGGCTGAGGAAATGTTTTTAATTTTACAGATACATGTATACAGTGGCACGACATTAGCTGATCCTTTTGTTAATTACTTTGGCCCCGTGCACACTACCCCGGAGGAATTCTAAAACGGAGGTTTCACCCTGAAAACGCATCAAATGTTTTCCGTCCACACTACGCTGGAGGAATTTAAAAACGCAACAATCACCGGTCATTTTGGAATTGTGTTTGAGGAAAAGTCGGACTGAAAAATCACATGATTATCGTGAGGCCGTCGTTTTCGAAAAGCTCCGTTTTCAAAATGTTTTCCGTCCACCCAAAAACGAAAAGCCGGCGTTTTCAAATTCCTCCGGTTTGAAGAGCGTTTTCGAAAAGCTCCGTTTACGTGGCGGATTAGTGTGGACGGTAGGCCTAACCGCCGTACAAATAAAGCTGCGTTTTTAAAATTCCTCCGGCGTTGTGTGCACGCTGCCTCTGATAATACCAACAACACCAACCTGACACTTGACATATTCAATGGCAATATTTTGTATTTTCACTCTAGCTTCTCGCGGCAAGTGGTTCTGTAGATGAGATGCCAGTCGGTCGATAGTCTGCAATGTAAAATAAGAGCTGCATAAATACCCGACCTTCTACGGTCCGTAGAGCTCAATTTTGATTTTCGTCTAAAACTATCAACGCAAGGAATTTTAATTTCTGGCACTGAACAACGACGCAGAAATAAAGGTATTAGTGTTACCATGTTTTGTTTTTTGACCTCGGCCACAGATCTTTGTTCGTCAGTGGAATCCAAGAAATCTCTACTTTCTGGAAAAGAATTTGTTGCAATATTTTAAAACAGAAGTAACTAATCGTAACCCCCAAACGTCGACAACACTTTTACGCGCGGTATGTATCGATATATCACCAGATTGCCAGGTGTCACAAAGAAATGTACGAGGCTCCATTACGAGTTTTCGGCAACGGGATATTTCCGTAAAACATTGGCGGGATGCAAGATAAGGGGGGGGGGGGGNTACAGTAGATCACAAATTGCAGTTTCCTTTCCATTTCCTATCTTTCGCTTTCTTTACAACATTTTTCACTGAGGTTATTGAGATCTCGTGCAATTTCTGCCGAATATAAATTTTGAGACATTTAATGGCATGTTGAACAATTATTCCACGAGGACTAGTTAGATATGAGATGGTACATAGCCAACGAGGCACGTCGCGCCGAGTGCGCTATAATCATCTCATAACCAACAAGCGCGAGTGGAATAATTGTTTTATTAAAAACGCCCCAAAATGATAGAAAACTAGACTGAAAAAAATAAAAACGCCACGAAAATTCACGCGTACGCTTACGATATTTGTACAGCATAGTATAATGGCTCATATACCATGATGGCTAAGCCAATGAAAACTCTCGAATTGCATTATCCAATGATCCAATTTTTAATAAAACTGGATATCGAATGAGAAAATCATCAACTTTCGCAATTGGAAATAACAGGATACAGGATATTCAGGCCAAAAATTAACGGGATGAGGGATACTCAGACCACCGATAACGGCCCTCTATTCTGGAGGTGTACTCGCCCTATCAAAATGTTTTGTTGTTATTGTATTTGTGGTGTGGGAAACATGACGACGACGCCGACGCCGACGCCGACGCTGACAGGACAAATTCTTTACTTACTATTGCTTCCTTGAGACGTGAATGATTCAATGCTACCTGAAAATCTTCTGCAAGAAAAAAAACAACAACATAGTTACAGTTAGAGTCTGCCTCAGAAAACATTGAGATTCTCGAGAAACAAACTGAGCCGTTTCCCTCAGAACCAACCATGAGTGTCAACTGTTCAATAATCAACAAACACTAAACATTTAAAGGAGCTCAGGCACAGTATTTTGGGTTATTTTGGCCTATTCTGCCCACGTTCAAAATTACCTTTGAAATGAAGGAAACCTGAAAATAGTAGTTTACTAAGGTAGAAAAACACTAGAGAGATAATACTAACCCAGAACGGAACAAGGATGGTTGAGGACGGAGAAGATGAACACGGACTACAAACGACGAACTTAAAAAATTTAGGCTAAACTTTTCAAGATGCGCAAACCGTGACGTAGCTCCTTTAAACATAGCATTACCTGGAGGAGACGGAAAGTCGTCTTCGTAGCGACTGCATCAGTCCAGGGTGTGCTGCAACCTCCGGCTGCAAAGAAGATAAACATCTTTTAACAAGTAAAAGTGGTTTATATATTTGACTCTAAAGAGCAACAAGATATTCCCTCAAGGAATCTCGCGAAAACATCCGAGCCTTTCCGGTCCCTTTTGTCCAATCAGGGAAAAGCACGATCACTCGCGCCAGCACGTCACGATGACAACACGCCATGTTACTAAGTAACGTACCTCCGAAAGCAGACCCCAGACTCCCTAACCACTGACTCGGTCGAGAAGCGCACTAACTGTAAACCCTTTCGGCCAATATCTATTACAAGACTAGTTTTAAGAAAACAAAAGTTATAACAATTCAAGACAAAATAATACAAGACGTTCAAAAGACAGCCCATTACCTCCTCTTCGCTGTCACTATCTTCCTCGTAAAAATTCGTATTAGGAGCCTTTAGCTTAAACCTATAGCAACAGACAATGTAAAGAAACAAAAAATCAACAACAAGTCTTGGCCTAGCATGTGACTTCAGCCGCATTGCTCCCGGCCGGTTTGACTTTTAGCGGGAGAGGGTGAAGAGAAGCAACTGTATTCGCAGGCTGCTGTTAAACGCGTGTCTGATAACATGGATTATGACAGAAAGTGGCGTAAGTCTAAATCTAGAAACAAAGCAAGGACAATGTGTATGTCGAGAGCAGAGCGTAAGAAAACACAGTGTAATCTCCGGGCATATGGCAAAAGAATTGAGTGCTACTGACCTTGGGGGAAGCCTTTTTGTGTTTCGAAGTAAAGTCGTCCAGAAGTCTGCTTGTTTCATCTTACTCTGAGAAACAATGGAAAAAATTATTGAACCAAGGAGAAGTTAATGCCTTTATCGCAAATAATGAGCCTGTGAGTAGGCTCACGTTTGGATCCAGTCCAAGGGACATTTTTCCTTCGAGCGCCGTAACCCCGATTGTCGGAGATTGGCCCATTCTATCTACTCACATCAACAAGTTGCCACCAAGAGATTATCAAGGTGAGTACCTTGATAATCTCTTGGTTACCACATATCCAGTCTGGTTATCCCGATGGTGTAGTGGATATCACGCCTGACTGGTACGTGGAGAGACGCAGGTTCGAATCCTGCTCGGGACACGAATTTTTCCCTCATTGCTAAGACGTATGTCAGTATGTCGAAGGCCGCCTTCAAGCTATTTACATCTTTCTACCTTCGTTTCTAAGGCTTTCCTGGCTCAATTAGTTTCTATTCCACTTGATATAAGAAGAAACATGCACAATTTCATCATTAACAGCTTATAGCAAGTTACTAACCCTGACATTCTTAAATTCAATGGGGATGTCTCTCGCAAACGAACAAGAAATCTTGGCGATTCTTTTTCGGTTGATGTCCTAAAACAAAAAAAGAAATCACTCACAGTGGACTAACTCTGAATTGCACAATACCTAAAAATCAGAAGTTCTTCGGTTGCCCGAGATGGTATTTACGTAACACGACAGTTTTAGCTGGAGTGTAATTCTTACCTTCTCTAGATGTCCTCTGAACGTGTCAACACAGGTAAATGGAATCAAAGTGATCGCTTCTCTCTCCAGTTCTCTACGAAACGTTCCGTAAGTTGCTCCTAGTGAGAATATCAAATGTGATCAGCGTGTAATAATCTAACCCTGACTCTAACCCTGGGAACAAGCAGCCCGTCTTTGAGCAGTTACTCACGCCCCGTCCACACTACGCCGGAGAAATTTGAAAACYCAGCTTTATTTCTACGGTTAGGCCTGCCGTCCACACTAATCCGTCACGAAAACGAAGCTTTTCGAAAACGCTCTTTAAACCGGAGGAATTTGAAAACGCCGGCTTTGCGTTTTCGTGTGCACAGAGAAAAATTTGAAACGGAGCTTTTCGTAAACGATGACGTCACGATAATCACGTGATTTTCCTGACCGAGTTTTCCTCAAACACAAATCCAAAATGACCGGTGATTGTTGCGATCTTAAATTCCTCCGGCGTAGTGTGGACGGAAAACAAGTTTGATGCGTTTTCAGAGTGAGACCTCCACTTTCAAATTCCTCCGGCGTCTGAAAGCCATACAAGCATAGAATTTTAAAGTATTTGGGAACTCTATGAAGCAAAGCTTGTCTCCCTTACCAACAAGATATTCCTGCAGAATATCTAAACACTCCGGGCTCGCCGGATCATGGCTTAGGTGCTCAAAGATCTAAGAACAAAACAGCAGTGAAAGAAAAATTTCAATGTTTATTTTGGAATTTCCAAGCTTGGCTCTGAAAGCTGTAGATAGTAACATCACCTTTTTGATTAAATTGGAATCCCTCAAGTGAATAACAGCCAAGTGAAGTATGGCCAGCCGAGTACTCGGCATATGGGTCCTAGGAGTAAAAACAAACAAAAAATAGAACAACACAAAACGTTACAAAGAGTTTGTTCCAATTTGTACTTTAAAAAATAGTAAGGGTCTTTTTGTTTTTATTAAGTGAACTGTTAGCAATCAGGATGTTAAAATCCGCATCATGGTGATTCCCCGCACTCGGGAGCAGTTGTTACTTGGAATTCTGCTTATTTGTTACTCATGTTATCATTAGATCTGCAGAAATTTTGTCTTACAATGCGATTCAGAAAGCTTGAACATTAAAATTACTCGAGGCGGGATGTTATGGTTCCGCAGGAGAGAGCAATTAAATGTGCTGGAAATAAACGGCAAACCCGAATGGTAACAATGGGTGTTTTTTGTCTGCCGTCTGATTTTTAAAAGTAGTAGCAAACTGTCAAAGTCAATCAAAGTTTTAACCGCAAAAAAGCCCCGCCCAGCGGTCAGCGTAAAATGAAGACTGTGGACTGCAGACTGCGAACCGGGGGTAAAATGCAGACTGAGGGTAAAATGCAGACTGTGGACTGCAGATTGCAGACTGCAGATCGGGGGTAAAATGCAGACTGAGGGTAACATGCAGACTGTGGACTGCAGATTGCAGATTGCAGACCGGGGGTAAAATGCAGGCTGAGGGTAAAATGCAGACTGAGGGTAAAATGCAGACTGAGGGTAAAATGCAGACTGCAGACTACAGACTTTTTAAGTATATGGATTTATTCAGGCTAATCGTAGTGCAAGTCTGCACTCCGGTTACCTGAATATCACTCCGGTTAGCCTGAATATCACTCAGGTTAGCCAAAATAACGCTCCGATTAGCCTGTTTACGGTTAGCTCTCAAGGATGGAAATGTTAACACGATTTAGTTAAAAAGTCTGCAGTCTGCATTTACCCCTGGTCTGCAGTCTGCATTTTACCTCCGGTTCGCAGTCTACGGTCTCCGGTCCGCAGTTTGTATTTAACACTGACCGCCCCACTGAAATGAGACCGGTCTAAACAGAGGCGTTAGGTGCTGAGGACATACCTTGCGAAAAGATCCGCCAGTGCTGCCTTATCAAAGTTGTATTTAAAGGCATTACCAGACGTGCTGTCAAAGATATAAGTACCTAATGAAGGAAAAAATGAGATCAAAATAGCACGTCACGTTGACAGTAAAAGACGCAGTTTTCAGCAACTGAATTCTTACTTTTCGGGAGTATGAAGGTTTACGTCATTTTCCTTGCCCCTTTCTTTTAATTTAACTTGCCCGGCACTAACCATAGGTTACATGTTACCAGTGACATGTTTTTCCGCGATTTTCAACAACATCACACAACTTAACCTCGTTTCCACGGAACAGGAAGGACAGAACCCTGGGAACGAGGTTTAACACGTCTTCTGCAGTTCCCTGATTTCTCGCATTTTTCAACAGTTATTTCAGTAAAAAATTACCACATGACATTCACGCGACGTCTAGTTTCCGCGTTTTTGGCGATTTTGTGGGAGTTCTGTTTCATGCCATGCTGACCTGTTTGTACAGATGTAGAGAGTTCCCTATTCAAATACAACAGCAGTCGTGGCTCATCTGGACCGGAATCGTGTGAAGAAAACTTTGGAACAGCATCACCTGACAACAACAACGACAAAACACAATTTAAACTGCATCACTCAGATTCAGGAGGAAAGGTACGACATTTGTGTAATGATGCACTGGTCACTCGCAAACTTGCAATCTCATTGGCTGAGTAGCCACCTACTATAGATCATTACTATAAATCTACTAGCGTTCTATCACGAACGCCGTTCTCTGATTGGCTACGCAACTCACCATCTATTCTGTGAAAGATAGTGAGTAGCGAAGCAGTGTGCCCTTGTTAACAAAATGACGACCGCTTCTTGGCGTTTTTGGAGAGTCTGTGAAGAGGATTTAGATTAAGTTTTAAACGACTATAGATTTATACTGAAACAATAGGATTATGCGGTCTCGATTTCCATCGCGAGATAGTTGACTCCGGCGCGATAGAAATCTCGAGCTCACAATCTAATTGTTTGGTATAGTTCACCACTAAATTCTCTCCGATTCTTATTGGTTTAAATTGATCACGTGACGCGATAGTGTTCATCAGCGGAGAGACACTATCTACCCGTAGTGCCTGCCCAAGGAAAATACCGGATGGATAGTACTCATTCGTCAAATTTTTTCTGTAAAGATTGACTGATCTGCATAAAGTGACTTTTTCTTTTACAAATTTTACATTTGGCTTTCACGCTCTTTATCTAAAAAAGTTGAAAATAATTCATATGATATTTGAACTGGCGCACAGAAGAAGATTTAGTGGTGAACAATAAAGACAATAGGGTGTTTACAAATCTCAATAATTACCTTGCAAGATAATATGATGACATGGCTCAAGTTCCGTGCTACAGTTTAACAAATGCAGAAAACACCCAGGTAAAAACACCATCAAGTAGTCATCTGTGAAGAATTCAAAAATAAAGCGTAAGTTTAACTTAAGCTTTTAAGTTGAATTCCTAGAGTGAACAACACGAAAAATTATTAAAAGATTTAAGAGAGATAAGACAAGAAGAAACAAGTAAGCTCAACATTAATTGCTTTAGAACCCTCCAGACACAAGCAGAAAGTAATATTCAGAAAATGACAGATGAAATGCAACTTCTCGGCATCTTAGTAAGCTGGGGGACTCCCACGCACAGGAGTGTTCGTCGTACCTTTTACGGGTAAAAAAGGCGTTTTTGGTACCTCTTGGTGAGTTCAGCCTCAAAGGGTCCACAACCGCGTCAGCGGAAGCTTTCACGTAGCTTTAAGGGTACTGAGCCGAAACAAATATGACTGGAGATATTGACACTCAACTTTGCGAGTAGAAGGTATTCAATGTTATCGTCTTTATCGCTATTAAAAATTATGAAAGCGTCAGTTAATGTGTTGTTTTAGAATTGGTACCTCTTAGGGGTAAAAAAATATTCAAGACACGTCTACAAAACAGGATCTTGGTACATCCTACGGGTGCTTTCAAAAAATTTCCGACGAGCACCCCTGTCCGTTTTAGAGAGTTACCACCACTGGGCTTAATTTCCCTGTGTTCCAAAAGCTGATGCCTACTAAAGGTCCATTTAAAACTTCTTGGTTTATAACAGTCTACAATAATATTCATAAAGGAAAAAAAATTCTCAAGTGGAATACTTACTGAGAGATGAAAAAAAAAGGCGATAATTTTGTAGATCTTTTGACGGTCTCACAGTTGGCAATACACAGTTCATTAAAAATCCTTTAAAGGTAAAAAACACACCTTATGAGAACAATGACAATCAAACCTGAAAAATGTAAAAACCAACAGCATTGAAAAGCTCTTGTTACAGTGTACCTATTACGTGTTTCATTTTTCCATTTAATTTGTAATAAAAAGTCAAGTTGATTTTGTTGTCAAGAAAAAAAAGCAAACTAAGCAAATTTCATTGTGGGATTATTTGTTAGTTTTGCTAAAATGTAAACAAAGAAAGTGTAATAAAACTGCATTTAAGGAGAGCTGTTAAAAAACTGTTATAAATTTATAAGCATGTGTAAAGATGAAGAAATATTTCTGCTCCATGGTAATGTGGAGGAACCATAGTAATGCAAGAGAAGGCTGCCTTCTGTCAACGAAACCTTTTTTAAAACTCTGAATTATCATTTTCTCGACACTTCTGTGATACACACCAGGGTTTAATTCATTTATTGTGATTGCCCAGTACTCTCTGTGAGTCATGAATCATGGAACAAAACAAGTCCAAAACCTTTCACCTATGAATGGGGGAAAGGAAAAGTCTGCATATGAGCCAAGTGGCCCATCAGGACAGAGCTTATCCCAGTTTCTGTAACATGAAGTGACTTAGAGTATTTCTAGTCCATCCTGGATGGGATGCTAGTCCATCGAAGGGTTACCCCCAGCATTAAATTTGCCAGTACCATTGATACACCTGGGCGGAGAGAGCCACTGTGAGAGTTAAGTGTCTTGCCCAAGAACACAAAACAATGAACCTGGCCAGGGCTCGAACCCGGACTGCTCGATCTGGAGTCAAGTGCACTAACCATGAGACCAGTGTGCCCATGCACGAGTCACCTAGGAATGAAACCACCATAACTCCCTGCCAGAAAAATGTTAACATTTAACTGGCCCAGCACATGGATGTAAAACTTACCATGATGTAGGACATACACAGAATATTCCAACTGAGTGGAGAGCTTTGCAGATTCTCCTGATGAACTCTGATTTGAAAAAAAAAAACTTTTTTTTTTCCATGAACAAAAACCCACCAGATTGAAAATACATTGAGAACAATATTTTTTTAAAAAAATAAACCTCATTTGCCATGTTCACTTGGTTAGCACAACACAAGAGTTAAATCCTGAAATACATGCAAGTGAAATCAAATTTATCATTATAGCAGAGCTCCAGCAGCCCAAAGGGCCGCCAAGCGGAGCCCCATACTCATATAGGAAAAAAAAGAAAACCCATGAGTTGATATTCTTATGGTTATCATGGCTAGCGGTATTGTTTTGTGGGCACGTACGCACGACAACATGGCAGCCATACTCCAAATAATAGGTTGACAGAGACATACAGCTTTGGTTTACCGTGTACTTCTTTGATATTGGACATCCATGTTATGATCAATTGACACCTGTCAAAACAAGGTATCCGCTGACCAGTATCACGTGACCATATCGCGTGTCAAGTTTGCAGCTCATCGAGGTCACGTGTTTTTTGAAGTTGACTACTGACCAAGTGCTGGTTTTCGATTGGATCGTGGGCTTATGTCAGCTAAACTTGTTGAAAATGGGGCAGCATTGTTCAGAAGCCGCTTAACGCTAATCGAGGATTAAAAGTTAACCAAATTATAACTTTTCCTTCTATACAAATGTTTTTTGCTACTTTTTTTTGTGTATATGGTGATTATTAAAACTCAAAACAGAAGGCCAAACAATATACAGAAAATCTCACTGCAAAGTTACATGAAATCAAAATTCTACATTTTCCTGGGTTAGCTTAATCGGGCTCTGAACAACCTGGCCCAGGAGCTACGCTTTTAGGCTGGCCTCAATCTATATATTGTATTATAAGGCATGGTATGCACGCAAAATGCCTGGATACAGTGCTGTATTCAGGAAAATTATGAAGAATAGAAGATATAACTTTTGTCAATAAGATATTCTAAAATTACAGTGCAAAGCAAGAAAAAATAAAAGAATGGAAAAATAATGGTAAATTAACAGAGTACAACTAAGAATCTGTATTGATCAGTACTAACTAGCTAAATATACAGTTCAACCTAACTACACAAACAAGTTAAAAATACCTTTGTTTCATCTGCAGCTATTGGATGTTGCAGACAGATGTAAAAGGAACCTTAAAATAAATATACATAATAACATCAAAACAGAAGACAAGATTAATTGATCATTGCAGTTTAAAAGTAGTTGTAAAATTAAAGCAATCATGTCTTCATATCTTTCTCCGCAGTTCAAATATATGATCTTTCATTTTTCAGTTGTATCTTCGCCATCTATTATGAATATTATATTACGAACTCACAAAATATATATTACGAACTTGCAATGTGACCAGCTCTTTAATTTGGCTCAGCAGCTCAATTGATAGAGTGTTGTATGGGTATCGCAGAGGTCATGAGTTCAAATCCCATTCAAACCTGAATTTTTTTCAAGCTTTAATTTCACAACTGCTTTAAAAGTTGAGTAATATATAACGTACTGTGATGATCATGCAATCATGTCTTTATATCTTTCTCCACAGTTCAAATATGTGATCTTTCATATATTCACTTCCATTCTTCACAATCTACGGGTATATTACGCACTCACAATGTGACAGCTCCTGATTCAGGCTTGATAGCTCAGTTGTGAGAGCACTGCACCAGTATTGCAGAGGTCATGGGTTTGAATCCCATTCAAGCCTGTATTTTTTTCAACCTTCAATTTCACAACTGCTTAAATAGTGTATATAATGTCTTGCAATGATCAATCATGTCTTAAAGTTTATATCTTTCTCCGCAGTTCAATTATGATCTTTCCTATATTCACTAGCAACATCAAAACAGATTAATTTAAATTAAGTGGCTAATATGAGATAAAGCAATCAACGTACTGGTACACATTGTATTTTTCATGTCAATTGACAAATTCGCCACAACATACACTTCCCAAAATGAGTTTCTATTGTACCAGTACTGTGTATTTATTGGATTTATTTACCTTTCCCAGGTAAAGTCACAACTTGAATGTTGACATGCTTCTCTAAAATGGCAAAAAAAAACTGCTGAGTTATTGTTTCCTACCGTAAGTGTAGAAGCAAAACAAGTTTTCAACTTTCAGGTTGTACACTGTAGGAATCACTTCAAAAAGTTACTTCAGTCATTACATTGAAATTAAGGGGTGGCAAATGGTTCTTCAAAAACCTTGGTCTCGTAAATATTTTATTGAATTTCAAAGGTCTCACAATCTTGTTTTTTAGCAGTAACATGCGCCTCACAGTCACATTTTCTTTCTCACTGTCCTGGTTTGTTTGTTTGCTTTTAGAAAAGACGTCTGAACAGCTAGAGTCTGAATGTCTTGAACTCGCCACTGAAAACACGCAATCTCCCAGGCTTGCAAAGAAAAATGCTAGACTCAGCTTCTTGCAAAGTCTCGCATTTATCATTCACCACCCCTAAATTAAGTAATGTTACAAATGTCACAAAGCTGAGTCCATGTCTTTACTTGTCAAGTGCTGGGAGCATGAAAAAGGTTTGCTTGATTTGTTTGCTTGTTACATGTACATCACCGATTAAATTACAACCAGCACTGTCTAGGATGTTTTCCCATAGTATGCTCACAAGCTCTCAACAGCTAATATGCTGAAGTAGGAAAAATCATAAATTAAAAATGTCACAAAAATGCGAAATCAGGTCTGTAAAATAATTTGTTTCTCACATGTACATGTTCTTAAGCTTGAATATAATTATTATAGTAAGCAAACACACTAATTCTGAATAAAAATGTAAGAGAGAGAAATGCACCTGAGACAGTCTGAGCTAAGGCAACATCAAGGTACTCAGGGTAACTACAAAAATATGTAATAAATATTTTCATTAATTTCTGATAAATTGAATCAATAAATTTAACAAAGGTTTAGAAAGCATCATACATTGTTTAATATCTTAAATTAATATTAGATATTTTTCTCTTTTTTGGCTATTAAGCATTACCTTGTCGGGGAAGAGAGGTCCACATCATGAAAAGGAAGTGGGAATTTGAGCTGCCAAAAGAGATTAGAATACAATTGAAAAATACATTTAAAAAGTCATAACTAGGATAACTGTTGGGTAAAGGCAAGTAAAAAAATGTACATGGATCAGGGAAATGGTTTTACTGTTAAAAATCAACTACTAACAGCAGTTTTTCGAAACCCCAGACCTATAAAGTTGAAGTGCACTAGCCCCATACCATGGATACCAGCTAAATCAAAGTTGTTTTTCACTTACTGGATGATGTTTCAATTTTTCTTCTGATTTAATGGTTCTCTGAAAGCTTCTGAGCAAAAAATGCTTCATGTCTTATAAGAGTGTTCAGGTCAGGTTCCAACATACCACTTTGACATGAGTGCTTCTTTCATTAAACTGATAAGCTTCAAACATCAGGTCAGACCGCACATCTTGTTCCTCATCAACATCACAACTTAGGCTCTTAAAAACAATCGAAAGGGTAAGGGTGTTAGCCTTTCAGAAATCTAAAAGCACAACAATTTAAAAGTTCACTGGAGTTACCCACTCACCCATTGGTGGGTTTGCACAACTACATGTACAAATCATGGGGTAAAGAGTTTTTTCATACATTGCTATCTTGAAGATTAAATTATAGATTTATTTAATAACTGAACTAGTCCGTAATGAAAAGGAGAATAATTATGCGGCTTGGTTTCCTTAAAAAGTACCTTTTGTGCAATCATTCACAGAGACGTATCAATTATTTCAACCGTGGATCAAAAAGAGTCATAGATTATTTTACATATTAATCTACTGAACAGCTTGTTTGGTCCATACTGGAGAACAATGGTCTCCTTCCTTTTTTGTTTTGCAAGTTTATGGATCCTGCCTACAGCTCAATCCATAAACCTACCAAAAACAGAACTTGACCAATATTTCTCCGATACAGACCTCGGGCTGGGTAAGTGTTGTGGCTGCACGAAAACATAAAGAAACCAAAGATTGACGCCACGTTTTTATTACACCCCCCAACATATAATTATGGCATTTTCACAGTCTACCTTGTTCCTCGTGTAAACTAAGTAGAGCCGCTGATTTAAACTGTCCCATTGAGCCCATAGAAATTCATCTGCCACTTGTTGAGTCCTAGGTTGGCCACTCATAACCTACATATTAAACAAATTACAGTCAATTGGCAATGTGCCCTGTACACACGATAAATCAGATAGTAATTAAAATCAAATGCACAAGAATACTAATTAAAGACATTCTCGACCCACCATTCTCTTGTCAAACCTGGCCATGGGTATATGGTACAAGCCAATAGCTAGAAATACAAAAATAAAAATCAATCGAAATATATTTAATATTTAATTCAATTACCAGTTAAGTCACAGTTTCACAGCAAGTAAATTTGCAGTAAATTTCCCACAGACTTGGTTACAACACTCTATTACAAGTTTGACACATGTCCTCTACAACTTTGTTGTTTGCACCGGTCAACCTTTGACTTAATTAGTGCTAATCGATACTTAGATCAAGAGTTACCTTCTTTGTGGTGTAAGAACAGCATATGCGACTCCTTCTTGGACACACTCCCATAACCAAGGTACTCTCCATAGAGAAACTACAATTCACAAGATACATGTACCATTACATATCAAGTCTCAGTCCACCCTAATGGCTGTCAGTTCTTAACAATGTAGTTGTTGTATTATCTGACGAACAAGTAAATTGCCTCTAAATCACCTGCACTCTTTGAAAAGTGAGTCTTTCGATGTGAAGAGAAAAGATTCGATTCTGTGGATGAATCTCAGCTAGAAATGACTTATAGATGGCTATGGAAAAGAGAAAACAAAGCAGATATCATTTTAAACATAATTAATTAAGTAATATCCAGGAGAGATGTAACAAGCTAATATCAAGATAATTTCTGAATGGCAAGATCACCTGGAGTATCAGAACTGGAAGAGTCGTTTACTCGTCCAAAATACCGCTCTCTGACAGTGAATGCTAAAGCAAGGTGGAACAAAAATTGTTATCAATTTGACAGTGGTGGAATACACGTGGAGAACATGTCTAGACTTTAACAGCTATGCCAGTGTCAATTAATGTCATGAAGTAGTACAACCAAATCGCAAACAAACAATCTACTATTTGATGTAGACCAACAAAACTAGTCCATCTAACTTGATTTTCAACTCAAAGTAAAGCTTCATCTATAGCACAAGGTGGCTGGGTTGCAACTTCCTCTTAATGGGATGCTAGTCCATTGCAAGTGAAAAAAGTCTGCATACCAGCCAAGTGGCCCATTGCGCTGGCACTTATCTCTGGTTTCAGTAGTATAAAGCTACTAGGAGTATGAACTACTCCCCCCTGGATGGGATGCTAGTCTATTACATGGTTACCCCCAGCATTAAATTTACCAGTGCCCATTACACAGCTGTACACTATACACTGTGGTGGAGAAAGGCACTGTGAGAGTTAAGTGTCTTGCCCAAGAACACAACACAATGTCCCTGGCCAGGGCTTGAACCCAGACTGCTCGATCTGGAGTTGAGTGCACTAACCATGAGGCCACTGCGCCTCCCACCCATTTCACATTATTCCCCAGCATTGTGTCAGGTTGACCCTGAAAGCAATTTACCAACTAGTACCCATTTATACTTTTTTTGTGGAGAGAGACATTGTGAGAGTAACTGACCAGTTGACTCACCAAGTAAAGTTCTCTCTTGGTTTACTGATGCCCCGCTAACCACGACCTCTTTGTCATGAATAAACAGGAGCTGGACAAAAAAATTCCATGATAAAATAATTCAGAAAAATGAAATGAGAAAACAGTACAGTGATCAGACTTTTATGCCAAATGGCCACTAAATATTTTACCTAAACAAACCAGTTTGGTTGGTTTTTAACTGAGATTTTTTCCTTCTAAAATGAATTACACCTACTTTAAGATGGTGTTGGGAAGGCTCATACAGTCCAAAGTAAGTCACTTTGTGTCCTGCCTTTAAAATAAGAAAGAAAATCAAGCTGAGTTAGGATGACTGTTTTAATTATGTCACACTCCACAATTCATTACAAGAAGCCTCTATGGCCTGACAGCAAGATGAGGAAGATGCTCCTTCGAGGGCATCGCTCTAGTCTAGTCAGTTCATATTATTTATTTAGTGTTTTAAGGGTAGATATCTGTATTTCCTTATGCAGGTGTTATAAATAATGATATTGGAACATTTATTTTTAAATAGAACTGAACTGGAATGTTATGTTTTTGTCCTGTAAGTAGTTTGTAAGTGTACTTGACTGTCACACCATGTTGTAAATAATTTTTGTATTTTGAAAATATAAAGCATATGCAAAAAAAATAAAACGAAAATATGGGGAATCCTTCGTGCAATTGGGAATTGTTGTTGCCTTTGCCTTGTGATCTGCAATCTTGAAAACAAACTTGAAAGTGTTTCAGTGCACTTGGCATACACTGTAACAATGTTTGTCTACCACAAGCCAGGGCTTCAGGGGATTGAAAAAAACAAACAGAGGTTGCTTTCTTGCTCCTGGACATCAAGGAAGGGGACATTGGGGGTTATGGTATTGCAGTATTGAGCTTTTTCCCATGCGGTATTTCAGTAATTTAAATCTTAACATGGTGTATCACAGTATCATCCAGCCTGGCAGTGTGCAGTTTTTCATCTTTTTGGCTGACATCCGGTATTCGCTAAAAGAAGGTCCTTCACGGTATTGCGGTACCATTCATTTGCACTCTCCTGTCTCATGCAGATTAATAATATACTTTCCAAAATGAAACATAGTAAGTTATTAACTAAGGTAAATAAAGTAAACTATAATGGTCGATAAGTCTTTGAGACAAATTATGGTAAATGATTATGCAATTTCTGACAGTTAATCCACAATGTGATTGTTTTTGCATCCAATGACAATGAACCATTTCCATTGACTTTTCGATCTGTAAACCGGTAATTTGAGGTCTTTGCACTCTCTTCTCATGTTTTCTCGCAATGGCTGAGGCTACTCAACATGTTGACAAGGTCATTATTGACCGTGTGGCTTTTTTTATGAAGAAGGCAAGGGGGGCAAACATTATCGCAAGAAAAATAATTTTCGATGTGCTGCTGCGAAAGGCAAAAAACGCCTTGTGAAGTTAATAGAGCTTGGGTTTGGTAAGTTTGTTTCCTTTGTTATGCAGCATGTACGATAGCTTGACGACCCTTGACAGATTTACCTCAGGATAGCCCCACATTTAATTACGAAAACTCGTACTAGCTCAGCACATGCAAGGTTTTGTTTGTTTTCACGCATGCAAGGTAAAATATGTGAGAGTTTATAGCTGTTGGGGCGACTCATAACAAGAACTGTGAGGTTCTCATAGTTTGCCAGGAAGCCATTTAGTCCATTTTAATTAAACGTGACCATGAAAAACATGCAGAGATGTGAACAAAGTGTGGCATACTGTTATGATTACTATGATCTGTCATAGTGCAAACAAATGCAGTTTTCCTTTCGTGAAAAATGGCAAACAAGTTGAGAATAACTTCACCATCAAGCTACAGTGTACCAAAATAACCAAAATACAAGGACATATGGTACATACATACTTGAGATAAATAAACACGCTAGATGGATGGTACTTTAAGCAAGTGTTACCGATTACAAAGGGATCTAAATGCAGTATCAGTATTTCGTCAATTTTCGACACAGTATTTCAGTATTTTCCAATTTTTTTTGCGGTATTACGACATTGGGTAACCCCCAATCTCCCCCTTATCAAGCAATGTCAAAGATATCAGTAATATACAAATCACTTTATTTTTCATTCTTGGTTACACTTCTTTACTCCTCTCTCACAGCCTGTCCTGGTGGATAGAAGAAGGAAAAGGGGTGGCTGAGGCCCAAAGGGGGTACTCCTATATGTGGGTTATAAAGGTATGTGCCGCAGCATCTAGCATAGGGTTTTCGGGTTTGGGCCTAAAATTGGGTATCAAATTTCATTTGCTTCATAGTTAAATGGGGTCAGGGTTTAAGACCCTTCGTGGCACACACTTATCCAAAATTTACGGAAGTACTCATCCACCCCAGGGGTAAAGAAAATTGTGGGGGGAGATGTCTTCTCTTACCGTTCCACTTTGCCCTGAGTCGTTCCATGATAAAATGATGGCATGATCTCTTTCCTGTCCAACTATACGAACTTGAAGCTCTTTCTTCACGGCTTCTGCATCTACAGATAGTGTGAAAAATATTCAGCTGGAAATAGTAACGATCAAGTGCAGTTTAGGAGGCTGTTGACTGTGGTTCGGTGTTTATATACTTCTTATATAAAAAGAGTTTAAATACCGTATCCTTCTTCAGCCAATCTTCCACTGTATTCTTCCCTTTCCCGTAATAAATGCGGCAGAATGTGCTCGTCGAAGCTGAGAGTTTTCTGCAGTTCCACCATTTTTGTTGTCATACGGACATCACGTGATGTATGCCTATGCAAAATGTCGACAAATGTCCCATAACTTGTTTGGCGCAGGGTGACCGCGTGAAACCTGGGACGGGAAAGTTGTTTGATGTCTTCGTTTCCTAGAAACGGACTCCATTTTGAGATTAGGTCGTTTTCGAGGCCAAGATGTTTTGCAAAACTCGTTAATTCTAAGCTGGATCTGAAGAAACAACGGCGATGAGTGACGGAGAAGAGAGAGAATCTCTCAGCCGAGAGATAGACCCAGCCATTTGGGCCATAGCTCCTCGATTACACCAAGAAGAAGGTCCGGTGGATGTGACTGCCAGTCCTGCTTTTCAGTGCTTAGACGAGGTTTGTATGATTTCTTCTCTTCATCAAGCTTTGTGTACGTACATTCATGACGAGGCTGATTTGATTCAAAAACGATCCGGCTTTATTCTAGCTTAATTTAACAACAATAGCTATTTTACCAGCAAGCTGCAATTTAAAATTGTACTTGGTCGGTATTTTGCTTACGATATATCGTCATCGTATTGTCGTACTATTCAAGTGACGGCTGATTATAAAATTTTAAAGAATATTTATTTACACCTTTAGGATATGTAAGAGCTCAACCTTTTAATAAGCTGTAAATATAAATATTCTCATGTTTTCCTTTGTCAATAATAGAAATTCAACGTACATACATTGCAGCAGGTTGTACATGATCATTTGTTCTTGTCTACAGTTATTTTCACAAGGTAAACTTGCAGGAGAGAAAGTAGCTAAGCTTAAAGCAAAATACACCAGTCTTCATGAACGTCTCAAAGCTACAAGAGAACAAGAATCCTCACTACTTCACAAGGCGAAAGAAATGCACCAAGAAGTGCAGAGACAAAGAGCTGAACTTGAGAAAGGAGACAGCTTTCCAGATGGAGACAACACCGAAGTTAATAAGCTAAGACAAGAACTACTAAAACATCATAATGAGCTTGCTCAGGCAGATGAAAGGCAATATCAATTGGAATTTAAGCTTGAAGGTTTACGAGAAGAGAAGATGATGCTTGAAAGGGATTATTCAAGGATGCCAAAACCCGGTGAAATTGAGAAACAGGTCAAGGAACTGCAAAAATCAGTTGAGGAACTCAAAGTGGAAATTGCTCAGAGAACTATTGATGCTAAGAGCCTCAAGGAAGAGGTGGAAAATAGGGAAACACAAGTAAATGAACTGCGAAAGGAAGTTGAAGGAGATTTAGAGGAACAACAGAAACTGCGGGTAGGTACAGCTGTATCTAAGGATCACCCCAGGAACACAATGCTGACAGGGGCAAAAATGACACCCTATTTAAGGATTGGGAACCTCCAAAACCATACCCTGTCCCACAGCACATACCTATATAGCCAATGGATAAGAGTATGTATGCAAAGCACATTGTAGATAAATCGGAAAGCACATTTTCCTCGCATGATTTCCACAGAAAATGAAAGTGGGCATGTTTTCACCAGTTATTTTCAAATCCCTTTTTTAACTGTGATTAGCATTCAATTTTGACTTCAAATTCAAGATGAGAAAATATGGGAATTAACGGGAACTGCAAATCTTAGGAAAACATCTTGAAATTTGCTGTATTCAGAATGCTTACCTTTAAAATCCTGACTTGAACATGTACGTCACTCAATTGTTCGCTGTGATTCTTATGTCCAGGATCAGCTAGTTCAAGTGCACTCGCAACCAGCTCACATAACCAAACAGACTGAGCTTTTGTCCAGGCAGCTCAGGTAAGAATAAATCTCCCTAAATCTCAGGTACACAAAACTAAATCATGTATGATAGAGGCACATGCAGCTTAAGCCACATTTAGGCTAGAGATTCATGCAGCCAGAGCTTGTCAATGTTTCTGTAGAGCGAGGTGACTGCATAACCGTTAGATTGTATGATATATGTTTGACCTAATCTATTACAGGTTGCTCTAAACATTTGTCAGGTCTCTTTTGATTAACAGANATATATCAATCATCTTTCATATCTCAGCTTCTTGACTTAATTCATTGAATGGTTACGATTTTTATTTTTGATGGCGTGACACTGCAAACCAGCCATATACGGACAATAACTGTTAAAGATTATTTTCGTTATAACTTAGTGAAACGTTTTGTCATTGGAAAACAGTTAATAAAATTACAGCCTGCCAACCGCGTCAAAAAAGCAGAGTATGTTTATTTTTATTATTTATTTTATTTTTGCACCAATCTCCCAGGTATTGCTGAGAAAAGACTAGCTTACAAATGAAAAGCTAACACTATTAAGAAATTAAATTATGAGTTCGAGATTTCTATTTCGTAATAGTTGACGAGGGCGCAGCCCGAGTCAACTATCACGCATAGAAATCGAGAGCGAATCTAATTGTTTTAGTATAATTCTACTGGTCGTTCAAAACTTTATCTAAATACTCTTCACAGACACCTCGAAAACGCAAAGAAGCGGCCGTCATTTTGTTAACAAGCGCACACTGCTACGCTACTCACTATCTATCACAGAAAAGATAGTGAGTAGCGCAGCCAATCAGAGAACGGAATTCGTGATAGAGCGCTAATAGATTTATACTAACAATATTTATGATAATATTTTAGCTTTTCATCTCCCAGGTAAATTCGGCCAATATAAGTACTACATAAGACACGATTCAAAAACTACTAATAGATTTTAAAAAAACATGGACTTGGAATAACATTCGAGGCAACAGCTAATGATGAATGAGACTGATGCATTTTACAACATAAGCGATAAATATCACAAGCGTATTTAAAGACGCTTATCACAATCTACCGTCAATGTTATACAATAGGTGCAACAGGGCACTAATTAAACTTCAGTGAGCATTACCTTCTTGCGTCTAAGAATCCCATGGAATAGAGAGAAATTTCACTGATTAACGCGTAATCAGGAACCATCATCGCCACAGTACGGAAAAGAACCTAGTAGTTTGAAAAAAAAAAGGCTTCAGTAACTTCGCGAATGAGAAAAAGTACTTTCCGATGTTTTGTTACAAATCAAAACTCTTCTTATATCTTCCTTTTTAACAGATGCAACAACAACATAGTAACAACTGTACTAATGTTAACCGTTATGTGGAGATGTGTTCTTTATTTTAGTTTGATTTTATTTTTGTTAGTTTTCTTTCCTTCTGTCTATGATTTTACTCTGCAGTCGGTCATAAATTTACAATTCTGCCTAATGAACTAATGCAAATATGAAAATACTGCAAGTGCAATTAACTTTTTTAAAACGGTCTAGTTATACAACAAACACGAGAGACAGTGTCTCATCACACTTCCTAACACCGAGAATACGACGCGCAGGGGAGCATTTTTGGACGAAGTCTGTGGTGTCGAAGACGGGATAAAACACTGTCTCGAGAGTTTTATATACTCTTCTCAATCGAAGATGAAACTAAGAGTAAACAGATCCTGGATTTCATAAATATGCACGTTTAAATTCTTAAGTCATTTTAACAACTCAGTTATCACGACTTGTCACTCTCGATAAACAAATATCAAAGGTCCAAGATTTATTGTAAGTTACCTTGAGATTGTCAGGCAGTTCCTGTCGTCCTGCATAACCAGGATTCATCGTAATAAACATTGTACAAGTTGGATTGAGAACAAGTTCGGTTCCTTCAAAGAGAAACTTCTGCTTCCTGTCTGCAATGGCCTTTTGAATTGTGTGAATCTGTTGTGCTACCACAGACAAAACCTGCCACCAAAAAAATATCGCAATTCAGACCTGTGATACTGTAGATAGCGCCTGGGTAGTACATATTTTGGACCAAAACTTCAATGTGCTTCATGGACTTTAAGGACCTATATCTTTAAAAGGGCATAAAACTTAAAAAATCTGGACTATAAGGCACCTTAAAAAATCTGTACATTTTGAGCAATGTTATAAATCATACTAGAACTAGTCATTTCAATAATGGAACTACATACTTCAAGTACCTTTCATATGCACCATTGAAGGCCCTTTAAGACCTTGAAGATGTTAAAATTTAACTACTTTCACGAACTTTCAACGTGGGTGCGAATCCCGCAGCAAACACATTTCAATAAGCTACGGCTAAATTCACAGGTCTAGTTCCAGGACTTTGTTTTAGCCGTGTGAAAAGAAAAGGTTTCCACACGAGGCCTTTTCTCTGTTTGACCTGAATTGGTCATGTGACTTACCTCCAGCTCAATTCTGTTGAACTCGTCAAAGCACGCCCAGCATCCTGCCTGAGCTAATCCCTTAAAGAATTTCCCCATGGCTTTGTAGTCTAGTCCATCAGAGCAGTTGAATACCACGCACTGAAAATGAGAAGTAAAATAACACTGAAGTCCCTGCGTTTCAAAACAGATCTTCTGTTATTTTATTCACAGTTCTCCTAGCCCTTTGAAGTGAGCATCATTAGTGGTATGCTACTATAAGACAGTGTTGGATAAAGCTCACAGTATTTTTCCAGCCAAATGAAATTATCGTGTATGGGGAGGTAAAGTGGTACACAGATTACTTTATTGGTATGGGTTGACGTTGACGTGTTTCACCTAACTACAATAATATTAACCATTCAAAAGAAACTATATAACAAGTTATAACAATATCCTTTTAAGCGCTCCCCCCCTCCCCACTTTAAGCTTTACTGCCAACCAACTTCTTTATACAAATACTATTTGATTTCAGTAAGCTCGATTAACTTTTCACCGATTATTCTGGGTGAATTTACCTAATTTTCTGTTTCAATTATCTTTTTTTCTTTGCAACTAAGATATTTTTTTCTATTTTGGTAATTAAGTGTGCGTTGCTGTAGTTCAATAAAGGCCACGCTTTACTGAATGTGAACATGTTTATGCGAGTTCGAGAGAGCAACAAACCTGTTTAGCAACAGCCTTGGCCAGATCTTTACAAGTTTCAGTTTTGCCAGTACCAGCAGGTCCCTCAGGAGCACCGCCAAGATTCAGTTTAATGGCGCCCATCAGTGTCCTGAAAACATGAACACAAAAGTTCTTATAAAAATGCTACTTTGCTCCGTTGATGTTATGTAAGTGAATGTATGAACGATCATACATTTGAACTGCGGAGAAAGATATGAAGGCATGACCGATTATCGCAGTTATACACAGAACTTAAGCAGTTGTGAAATTAAAATATAAGATCTTTCATATATTCACTTGTATCTTCGCTGGGTATATGTTTGAAATTTTCAGGTGGGGAACATTAGGACCTGTTTCCGTCAAATACTTAAAGAATGACCTAAACCAACATGGCATATCCTGATATGAGATTTTTTTTCTCACCGACCACAGTATAAAGCAAGAAACACGAAAAGATGCAAAACAGATTACTGAGTTCCCTTGGATACGTAAACAGGTCTCAACAACCAGACTGGAACCTGTACGAGCCTTAAGGAAATGGTTTTTGGAATAAGATCTCATTTCTTTTTTTCGCAAACAAACCTGTAACATCTGTCCGTGAGAGGCGTGATGACAAGGCGACCACTGTTGCCGAGATACTCATAGCCATAGTCGATACTGGTTGTTATCATCCTCACTATTGTCTGCTTCTCTTCAAAGTAATATCTCAGCTGTGACAGCCACTGGAAATCATTGCCACTGTTTACTCCATCCTTGTACATCTTTGCGACTACATCACGGGCTGACAATAACAAATAATAGAATATTAAAACACGAGAAAGGACTACTTTCTTTACTGTTTATGATGTTTTAGGAGGACTTGTCTTTATCTCAAATTCGTTAACTCATTACTAATTCATCACGTTTAAACAAAGGAAATCATGACGTGACGGTGTTTGGATAACTCATCTTAATTAGCATGGATTTTTACGATTTTATTTCTTCGTTTTCTCCTTACATTTAGTTTCGGTTGAGAAGATATATCAAACACTCAAGGCTGTGTTTGACCACACTTCCAAACACTATGAACTTCGTTAAAAATACTCCGCTACGTGTTGTATTTTCAACTCTCTTCTCGGTGTTTGGAAATGTGGTCAAACACGGTCTTCCGGGTTTGATATATTACGTAAAGGTAAAGGTTTCCCACTCACTCACTTACTAAACACTTTTATAAACAATAATCTAATATCCAATATTAAAGGGATACTACCACCATTTTAAGCACGATTTTGGAAATCTCAAAAACAAATATCGATCATTGGAAGCTGAGCAATAATGGTTTTATTATATAGAGCAATACTCGACAAATGATTAAAACCCATTAGGAAGTGAGGATGGCTAACGATGGCGAGGATTGAGACGAATTGCGATATGGATTTTTGAAAAAGCATCAGGATGTCCGTTTTTCAAAGGTTCAAGTTTGGCTCGAAAATCGTTGAAATTTTGCAAAAATGTTGCTGCAGTGTGGACATTCTTCAAGAAATTGCTTCTAATCATTTAGTCAGAACTAATTGAGTTCTTATTACATAAATTTAGGGACCATTTTGTGAATTTAAAACAGTTCTAAGCAAATATATCGTGACGGTGTCCCTTTAAGATTTGTTGTTATAAGAAAGGCACTAGGCATTAACAGTCTATTACCATGAACGTCAATCACAGTGAGTGCACCAAGCGTGATCCTGATACCAGCGTCCAGTTTCCCTCTGACAAGGGCCACAATGGTCTCAATCTGGGAATTTGACTTGGCTAAATAGTTCTGAAAATAACAACCCAAAAGTGACAAGAAGATTGTGTCAACCATCATTCAATAATCATGGCTAACAGGGATATCTTCTTTTGGCTTGGACGATCCACTACAACATGTGCATTTTGAGTTGTTTACGAGATAATTTGTCTCCATGGTTTGCTTAATTCTGGACTTCAGGCAGTTCGAAACACAAGTGCAAAGTGTGCAAGTTTTCCCCACTGGCACATCTACGATGTATGTAAGTAACAAGTGTGGTCATAAGATATGGCAATACTTCACGAAACAACAAAAATATGTAGATCTGTAAACAAAACTGTAGGGGTGAATAACCATACCTTCAAACCATCTTTCTCCAAAATCGCTTGTGACACTTCTGAGGTCCAAAAGATACCACTACAAGCCAAAATGATCTGCAGAAAATGATTATCGTTGTTACTTAAGTAAAGTAAATACTATTTGTTAAAAACCACCTCGGTTTTAATTTTGCAATTTTGTTCAATCTGTTATTGACATGTAATACTTAGTCTCGCTGCATATGGAACTTGAAATGGTTGCATGAAATGCACCAAACTTTGCAACAGCGACGGTAGGTCTGGAATTAGCAGCATTGTGTGCAATGGGAAGTTAATTATTTTCCTAGCGAGCCATCAAGCAACTAAGATAGAAACCTGACTAATTCAGGTATAGAGGCAAGACCAAATTTCCCCACAACCTTGGAACAAAGTGGTTTGATTTAGCAAAGAACACAAATGTTGCAAAATGTTGAGAAGGAAATTACAACATGCCTCCAATAAAAATCAACATTCTTCTGCAACATTGATAGCAGTAATGTTGGGGAAGAACGTAGGTAGAATGATGCAAAAAGTTTGTGTGCATGGATTGAGTAAATAACAATGAGAGACAAAAATCAAAGCACTTGTATCCATATTTGCAGAGAACTGGTGAATGTGACAACAAAATGACAAACTTGGTGTTTAAATTAGCCACATGCTGCACCCAATGGTATGATAAATAGTTGCAATAATCTAGTGATTATTGTTTGACTTTTTGCATTTTTACCTGCCCAGGCCACTCCTGGACCCACTTGCCCCTGGGGGTCTGGTAATAAGCATTCACTGCATCCTCTGTGACTTTTTTCAAACTGTTGATCATCACTTCTTCAACTTGAATCAGCCACTTCTCCACCATTCCCTATAAACCAGCAATGCAAAAATCTGTAATTAATAACTTGACTTATGCCCACTGCAGAATCCCAAAAAGGCAATTAATTAGTGTCCAGCGTATACAACACACGTTTCATAGAAAGGCAATTGCAACTTTGACCCTCTTTCTTTAATAAGAGACAGTAAGCTCAAATAACTGGTAAGCTCAATTAACCACTGATCCTTAAAACAGTATTACCCTGAGTATAACCAATCAAGTCAAAACTACACTGAGTCATTCTTTGGTGTAGTGCCATAAGTTTTTGCTATTTGTAATTGTAAAATGTAATTTCACATTGCTTTTTTAATTTGTAACTTTTACATGGCATTTTTGACAACAGAAAAGATTAATTAACACCACATAATTTCAAGAAGAAGAATCTATTTCTAAAACAAATTCTAATTATTTTAGTAATGTAATTTCAATTATTTTTGTAAATATTCATCTTAAACATTTTAGTGATGTAGGTTCTTTCTTGCTTAGTGTCCCAAACTAGTCCGCTTGGGCTAGGCTAAATAACTTGACACTTAAATAAAGTTTCTGATCTCATGTTATCTTGATCCTGTAAATAAAGGCGTCAAGTGCTAACATGACATACCTTAGCTTTAGCTGGGATGATTTTACTGGAGAAAGGTACAGTTTCATTCTCTGCGCTGATCATTCCCACAACCTCTTGATCTTCAGTGAACTCTAGTCTTGCTATTCCTTCAAAACACTTCTTCAAATGCGGCTGAACTCGCAGAGGATCCTTGGTTTCTGACAAAATCTCCAGCAACTCATCGTTCGACAAGAAGAAAAACCTTTGACATAACACGCATTTTCAAAATCACGCAAATGAAGTATCTTCATACACACTAAACTAATTCTTCCTTCTATTAAAATGTCTTGAGAGATTGGTGAAGAAAAATTTGATTAAGAATAAAAGCGCAAATCAACTTGTGACACAAGCTACTGAAAAAGAATACCGCTGAAATCAAATCCATAACTCCTGCAGACCAGTCGGAGGTAGCCTGTGTCACAGGATGCCAAATATTAATTTCTCGTACTTCGAATTTACCATCATTTCTTCAAACAAAAACTTATGGCTACTTAATAACAAATTATTTTATCATTTACAGCTGCAATTAGTTTTATTTCTGAAGTTAACTAGAAGGACAAATGGTATGGCAACACATTAACCTGATATTATTTGATTCTTATTAGAGGACCTACAACTCTTTAAAGCGTTCTGAAAATTCTCTACTTGTTCCACAGACGTCAGGCTGCAATCATAATTTTACCTTGGAAAGAACAGTTGCTTCTTTTCGAGATAAGCATTAAGACCCTTCTGAATTTCCTCCAGCAGTTGATTTGATTCATTTAGCCTTCCCAGCATGTTAGGCTGCGCAGTAGCAGCGAGAACTTGTGTGTCTTTAACCTGAAAAGAAAACTCTGAGTAAGTCTAATAGCTGGATATGAGAATCTTGCAACATTTCTAGTAACTATTAACCAGTAATTTGTCTAATTCCTTGGCAGAACATTACTGGTCAATTATTAGAGTTGTCACCCCCATCCATCAAACTCTCTGTTTTTAACGTCCTTTCATTCAACTGCCTTTCATCTAAACAGCAAAACACGGTAGTATCATTACATTCATTCTAGGTTATATTTCATTCTCGTTCTAAGTGGAAGGTGAAGCGAGCGTCAGGCACAACCCATAAAAAGCAGGAAATGTATGGAAAAACAATAGCTAAAGATTCGCTTACAGCTTCAGTCATGATGTCTTTCCAGTAGCTATCCACAATTCCAAACTTTCTTCCCTCTTCTGGCATCTGTGCCATGATATCCTCAGAACTGAAAATTGGCTCCAGGTATAACCATGTTGCCTGACACTGCAATAAACAAATAGACACGTTTCTCTTCCTATTTTCTTCTTGACCGTACAGAGAGATGATCCTGCCTGGATTGTCTGGACAGGTTATCTCCCTTTACAAGCCACTACATGTAGCATGCATTAGGTATCAAGGGTGCAGGACCTTAGTTTAATTCTATTTCAGTCTATTTCTATTAATAGAAACAGACTGGAATAGACTTAACCGCAGTTAATTAAAATTACTCTGAATAAGAAACACTGTCCTGCTATTAAACGCTTCGCCGTTTTCAAGACTGTAAATACATTTCTCAACCGATGTTAGATGTTAACGCAGTCTTTTTAATCTTTTGATGTCAAAATGAACTTATTTTGCGGTATCCTCGGGCATTCCAGGGCTTTGCAATAAATTTCAAGCACTGCTTATTCAATTTGAATTTCAAGGAGTTTTCAAGGAGAAAATCATTTTCAAAGAGTTTTGAAAGACCTAGTAGTTTTTCAAGGAGGTTAGTGTTTCAGGCCCGTGGGAACCTTATATTTACTGGTTCATTTATGGCACTAACAAATGGTGGTCTCTGTAGCGTGAAGTGACTGCAATTATTGCTATTTTCCGTGGATGGGAAAATAGCTCATTTCACTTACACCAGCATTTTATCTACTTGTCCTAACAATTGCTTGGTACTAGTTACATCATGTTTAATCAAACAGCCATAAAAGCCTGGCCAAAATTTTCACTTTCAGATATTTCAGGCTCATTCTGAAATCGAGCGAACCCCACATTCCAATCTATCACATACTAAAAACGTTAAACTATTTAATTGAACTGGATTCTGGCACTTTCATTCCAAACCACAAACCTTGAGCCAAGCGTCAATGATATCCTGCATTTCAATTAGCCTTTCACACCATTCCTGCCAGAAATCAAAAAGCGTATAGTGTTTAGGGAAGAAGTAAACGCCTTGGCAAAAATGCAATAATATAAATTACGTAACATGTGGAAGAAAAGTGTCCCTTGGACATAATTTGGCATAAATGGAAAGGATGGTTATTATGTCATTATAGGCCCGGCAATTGTCAGTTGTTATAAAGACAGACTTCAGGTTTGATTTTGAAGACATAGAAGTAATATATCAAACACGAAAGACCGTGTTTGACCACATTTCCAAACACCGAGAATAGAGTTGAAAATACGACGCGCAGCAGAGTATTTCTGATGAAGTTCGAGGTGTTTGGAAATGTGGTCAAAGACTGTCTTGAGGGTTTGATACATCTTCTCAATCGAAACTAAAACAAAGAAGAAAATGGAGAAATAAAATTGTAAAAATCTATGCTAATTAAGATCGGATATCCAAACACCGTCACGGTCATGATTTCCTTTGTTTAAACTTGATGAATTATTAATGAATTTGAGAACGTTGTTTCCGAAGCACAAAACTTAGACATTTCCTTGTTGTGTACATATATGATCTTTTGTATGTTCACTTAAAAAATTGATAATGTTCAATCTCTGCAACCCTGTCTCAATCCTGGCTACACTGACATGTAGCTAACTTCTTTTCCATGATTGCTGGTTTCCTTGCAACCTTCCTTAGGTTGTCCTTGTAGGTTCTTCCTTTGTCTACTTCATTTATTGTTAATACCTAGTATATATACTGTGTAGACATCAGATGTCCAGCAAAGACTTTAATTTAGCAAACCTTGATGTCTGCCTCAAACGGTTTTATGAATGGAGAACCACTCATCGTTTGTGCTTTGACAATGTGATCATCAAGCAACAATTGGATATCGTCCACAGCTGACAGGATAGACACGCCCTGTTGAATAAAGTACAACACATGATTTAGTCAACCAAGTGAATACGTCCTACAAATTGTAGAAATCATACAGAAAATAGAAATAGGAATGGAAAGATGAAACGATAGAGGAAGGGGAGTTACAAAGACTTGCAAAGTTCTGTTCGTAATTGTGTCCATCTTCATAAACTGTTCTATGCCCACTTACTGAGTCTCTGTACGGTGTGAATTCAAAGTACATGTCCTTCCATTCAACCTTCATCTTCTCCATGGCTTTCTCCAAACCAAACTCTTTACTGGCAGCACCACTTATCTCATCAAGTCTACAAGGAAACAAATGAAAATTAAGAGCAACAAGTTTCAAATGTTCTAGGATTTGGTAGAATGGCAACATGTACAAATTGCACACAGGAACACTTGGAGGAGAGCTCTTTAAAAAAATTACGAAACGTAGAAGAAAAACACTGTACCCTAACGGGGAAGTACAATATTTTCATACTTCTACATAAAAAGGAAAAATCCTTACTTTTCTGTGAACTTGTGAAGATTGTATTCCAGCATGTTGCAGAGGGATGTTGACGGTTCAGGTTTGATGTCAAATCCAACAACCTCACTCATCTGTAATAAATATCCAAACATCTCATGAGAAACCATAAAAGGTGAATATTACTCCTATTCTAGACAGTTTAGGTACTAACATTTTCATGAAATATAATCAAACTAACAAAACATTGTCTTTTACAGATACCTGTTCCCAATGCCGTTCTCTTAATCCAGGATTGCAAATAATTTGCAACAGCGGAATGTGAACTTTGAACTTGTCAACCTTGCTCTTGACGCTGTCAGCCACTCTGCGGGGTCCTGGAGCATCACTGAATGTTTTGGTCAGTTTCAACACTGTTCTGTACATGCTGCCAATTTCTTCTTCGACTTCTTCTGAGTTAATGTCAGTAAATGGACCTTTTAAAGCAGGAAAGAGAAAAACAGTTTATGCGTTCACAGTGTGTGTGTCAAAGGTAAATTTTGTGACATTGAAAAACCTCTTAAATTTTAAACGTAATGACTGTACACCATTTATCCCCATTCTTGTTTATATCAAGCCTTTTGCAAACATTGCAAGCATTGTTTGCATATCGCTATGATAATTCAATAGCAGGAATTGGAATAACTCACGAATTGAAAGGAAAATATTTCAGTTATCAACTATGTGCTAAGAACTGCCACCTGCAATATCTATTACTTCTAAACAACTTGCCTCGTTGTTGTTTTGTTTTGTTTTTTTTCAACACTTCATTTATCGGAATTTTACGACGAAGCAAAATACTGAATCTTACCATTAAGCCAAGCTTCATTTTTGTTGTGGAAAGATAACGCTGTTCTCCACAACTTATCGTAAGGCTCTTTGTACGCAATCATCGTTTGAAGTATCGGGAACTGTGTCGCCTCAAACTCCAACAATTCTTCTTCAGTATTTACTTGCTGTAACACCAGATACGTTGTATTACTAATTTATCAAATATACAAACATTTAACGTATATCAGGCCAAGTCTGTTGAACACTCTCAACAAAATATCCAAGTAATATCAGAGACCCCATCATGGAGGGGCTGAGCATCCCACATCCCATTAATGTTTTGCCTAAATATTCCGCATTCCGTTTTTTGCAGTTGCAACAATTAACGATTTTTCCACGCTATATCTAGCTGGATGACATTTCAGGCTACTCGATATCCGTTTCATCTGATCCAAATCTCCCATATTCCTTAATTTTTCCCCAAATATCCTGTATCCTGTTAATTTTTTACTCAAATATCCCTTATCCCGAAACCCCCAATAGGGTCTCATCAGATAAATACGAGGTATGTCATGGAGGGCACATGTTGAAAAATGTTGCCCAAAGTTTTCAAGTTCATTGTCGCCAGTGGTAACTGATTCTAAACAGCCTCCTTCCTTCTGGGTTTATTGTTGCCTCTTTGATGTTTTAAAGTTTGCCAGAAATTTAAGGCAACTTGAGCATCTCTAGACGTATTGTAAGTTGATATAGCATATAGCTTATTTACTGAAAAAAATATCTGCAGTGAGACAGGAATATGCAGATATTTGTCAGTAGTAATACGCTAAAACGTGGAATGAACTTAAATAATGTAGGACACATCCCAGAGAGTAAAAATAAATAGAACATACGATGAGCTCCTCCTGTGCTCTCTTTAGTGCATCCTCAAGTTCATCAAGCTTCTCGACGTTCTTTTTCATTTCATCAGCTGCCATAATCTGAAGTTAAGAGGTAACCCAAGTTTACATTTTAAACGAATTATAACAGAAAAACGACAAAGGGTTAGTTTATATTATCAGCTGATCCAACGTCTGCCTAAAAACGTCAGTTAGTAGTTACCTCCTTCTTCCTGAAGGCTTCAACTTCTTTGTTGTATCCATTAAGTTTATCTTCAAAAGCCTTGACCCTGCACAAAAAATTGATATTGCTTTGGAATTAAAACATATCCCTTTATGACAAAGTTCCCTTAACAGCAAGAAAGCTCATCTAGAAGACCCACTTCAAATATTAGAACCCTGCTTATTTATCTACATTACGTTTGTAAAATGAGAATGAAAGATATGTCAATAACAACATTTTAAACAGCTTCAAGATAAAAAGACAAAAACAAAATGCTGAGGAGTGCTCACTGTTTTGCAAAGAACTTGTTAAATATTATGAAGGTGCTTGAGGATCATCTTTGTTAGAAACAGAATGCAAAGAAATAATGCCTCATAATGGATCATAAAGGAGCATTCCAAATATACATTTTCAAATAATAAACTGACAACAAATTTCACAAACCACTGTTACTAACAACTTTCGATTGCCATACTACACAACTGTTAGGTGAAACCGTTTATTTGCACTTAGCAAAAATAGTCCTGTGACGTGACTACATGTATTTCGAATTGATGCCAGCATCTCACATTGAACAATTTAGCTACTTTACAAGACAGTTGTATGGAATGTAACCAGAGTCACCTTGAAATTGGAACATTGCATTCAATTAATCAGAAACGGGCCACATTATAGAGTATCACTTACTTTCTCTTAACCTCGTCCATAGCCAAGTCCTTCCTGTGTCCAATCCGGTTTTTGCTGAGTTCAAAGATTTTCTGAATGTGCTCAGGCCAATGAAACACAGTGCTGTTCAACTTCAGGTCTTCATCTGACATAAACATGTTAAAGCCGTTTTGAAAATGCACTCATTAAAAGGTAATTAAAAGTAAAAACAGTGGCTTCAGAAAGCCCTAAAGTATGGTTAAAATTTAAAAACCTCGGAAAATTTCTTGTAGACTTACAAGGCAAGAAAAATATACTGAAGGGGAGCTTGAAGAGAGCTGTATTTAGTGTTTCACAGTATGTGACGCAATCTACCTCCCGTTTTCCTAAGTTAGTCTTTCACCAGACGTTTATTTTTTTGCCGTCTGTTATTTTTCTTTGAGCATTTAAAAGGCTAACAAATTGCATTTAGACAGTGTATTTTTCTTTGAGCATTTAAATGGCTAACAAATTGCATTTAGACAGTGTGTGATAACGGAATAAAGTATTCCACTTTCTTCAAAGAAACACCAAATATTAATGCAAAATGAAAGATCAATGGGAACTAAAAACAACCCTCAATACTCGCATTATTTTAAAGATGAACTTCAAAGCTTTCTTTACTGAAGTTGACAGATTTTCTTTAATTTGGACTGAGAGAATTTTGTGTCAACCTAAGACATTTAATGTGACACAAAGAGGTCTGTCATTCTTGTCACCACAACTTCAAAATTGTTAGGAATAAGTTATCATGATAAATGTAAAATTGCTCAATGCCAGGGGATAAATATATGGGCTATAATATCTCACATACATGGAAGAGTAGCATAATCAAGTAAGAACAGAAGCCGCTCTCCAGCCTCATCAACAGCAGTCTGCAAATTGACGACAGTGACTGAACTGGCATTCTCTAAGAACTGTGTCAGTGCTACCAAGTCACTTGTGTTATCTGGCATCTCTTGCACCTTGTCTGATATCTCATCGTAGGATTTGCACAGTCTGAGGGAGAAAAAGAAACTAATGATTATTGTTGTTTGTAACCTTTATTTCCAATAGTAATGATTTAAACACCGGAATGGGCATAACATATAAACATTTTCTAGCACAATTCAAGATTATGCCAAAGTTTGAATGAACTTTTTCAAACTGTGTGTGAATTCATCTCAAGCATGGTCTTAATTTTGTAACAGCACAGTGTGCAAAGATAAGTCATTAGAGTATTTTGTGACCTGGTGAGCTATGTTGTTAAGTTAAATGATTCCTCAAAACTCATCTTGTCTTGAATAAATCCCAGTAATTAAGGTTATACTCTCAAACCCACATTCAGAAGCATGTACACGACACTAAGGTTGTTGAATTTTTGAACATGTATGGTGCTTGTAATGAGAAATGGCCAATTTCCTCTATGAGATCTACCTTCAGGGAATCATGGTAGTTGTATTCGTCATCTGAGACTGGATATTTGTTTTGATGAATGCAACTACCAGGATTCCCTCTAGGTGCATCTCATAGAGGAAATAGGCCATTATAGTTTTTCTAGCACTCAAGCATACCCTCTGTTCTTGTCCCTGTTCTGATCCACTACATATTGTATCATTCTGTCAGCCAGACGTGCAGCACGAGCAGACAGCTCCTGGTTGACAACATCACAATTCAAGCAAAGCATATTCAGAGGAACAGTGATGTGTAGTGAAGCAATCTCTTTGGAGAGGTTTTGATAAGAATCGATTTTCTGCAAAAAAAGAAAATATTTTAAATTTAAATCTGTTCTGTTAACCGAGTGATAGGAGAAACTGAGACAAGTCAAAGTAGTACAGAGAATAACCCAAACATCTGTAAGATGGACTAACTAAAAGCATTGCAACCACTTTGGATTTAATGGGAGTTACACAACAATGCAGTCACACGCATTTTCACACATGGATGGAAAAACGAATTGAGAAATTAAAACACCTTTCCCAGCCTACAGAATAAGGAGGACAGGTGATGCTCAAGTGCAAAGCCACAGCTGTAATATTTTAGTTGTATTTGTTAAACAACAAAACAAGAGACAACTGCCCAAACAAAGTAAACTGTACTCGCTTCTCGTGATATTTGTCCTTTTCACACATTCACACTACTACATTCACACATGCATATCCACACTAGATTTAGGCATGCATTCACACTACATTCAATTTAGATAATGGACAATATGGCTAATTCTATTTAAATCTGGGTATTTACTGATGCTCTAAAGTTATTATCTTAATACCTTGGACAATGCTAACAAGACAGGCTCATCTTGAATGAAAGTGTTGATTTCTGTGTCTGCCTTGTTGTTCAGCAAATCCTGATATTTCTTGTAAGTGTTCAGATATCTTTGACAAAAGTAAAGATCGATCAATGATGTGATAAGAAGCATGAGTTGTATTTGTGCAATCATCACTCAGTTGTAAACATGTGATTGTTAAAAAAAAGTTACTTGTAATTGAACAAGAGCTTTGTGAACTAACCATTATTTAAGTCAGTCTTTTTTTAAATCAATATCAATTACATAGTTAATTAAATGTCCTTATTGCAAACATGTGATTGTGAAGATAATAAAAATAAACACAATAAAAATAAAAGACATCTCTTATTTGCAAATATTATATCATTTTATAATGTGAACCACTACACCACTACCCTGTATCTTTACCCCACAGAATGTCATATTAAATCTCCTTTTCCTTTACTCTACACTCTTAAAAAATGCGATGTAGCATACACATGTAGCAACTTTTCAACATTCCTTTATAAATGGAGGAGGATAAGTAAGAATTTTGACTCTTGTTCAAAATTGCAATGCATAACTGATGACGGCATGGGCCTGAGCTCTTTCTACTCTGCATCTGTCCCATGCACTGTTTATAGAAATAGCTCCTGGGATAATTTGCCAATATCATAATAATAAATTATAATTATGCATACTTTTGAGGGCCCACAGTGTTGAGTTTAAAAACATCCACTGCCTGATCCATGTAGTCCTGAACTAGGGCTTCGTCAACATGTACTGAGCGTAGGAACAACCTCTTGTCTTTCATATCAGGAAACAACTCAATTTCAACCTAAGTAAAGAATGAAATATGTAAATTGTTTCTTTGTTAGTACTTGCTTCTGCAGCACTACATGTATAATGTGATGTCATATCAATTAAAACTGTGATCTCAGGTATTAACCTTTATTTACTGAAGTATATCTATATATATCAAACTGCCCCACTACAGGTTTTGTCACAGTAAAGAATATATATACTTTTTGGAAGGCTTAAGATCTGAAGTGGTGCTAAATAGTGGAAACAAAATAATATTATTTGTCTAATTTGTTGTCATGTCTAAGTGGTAGCTCTGTATATCCATGATAGGGATAATAAAATATATAAATATATAAATATCTTGATTGACCACTCCCCCAATGGGGCTTTTTAGGTCCAATGGAAACAAATGATGAAACAAATAATGGACATATGGCTGAAAATCCCAACTGGTAGGAGGCAGACCAGTTGGCTATTTACAAACATGGCCACGTACAAATGTATTTACAAATCTGATGGCATACATGATATCACTACATCATGCTAGTACTGGAAATGGCAGACATACCCTTGGTAGATCCTCTGCATTTTGAACAATATCTGTCAACAATCTCAGCAAGATATCTCGTAGTTCTCTGAATGGAGGATCAAATGTCAGCTTCCCACTCTCAACCTTCAGCTGCACAACCATAATCTGATAAACAAATAAACTTGTCAAAGCCACAATTCATCACAACACCAAGTGATCTGATCTTTAGAATTTCAAAATCTCCCCTAAGTGACAACCTTTCATAAGCAGCCATACTTGACTCTCAATACCAGGTTCACATGTTTAGGCTTCTATGCAGATTGGATTTATGTTAACTGGAAAAAAATTAAAACAGTTTCATATTGATATTTTTGTGAAAGAGCCAGTATTATCTGAAACAACAGAGGAAGAAACTGGCTTATAACTTTTCAGAGTAAACAAAAATTTAAACCACAAAACAGATGGTTGCTTCCAGAAGGGTCAATTGATGTTACTGGTATTGAAAGGCATTTCATAAAATTATATACAATAGTTCTAGCTATACCATAAAATTTTAGGAAAATAAATTATCATTGTTAATAGCATTTTTCTATACTTGCTCTAATTGACAACATGTTTTTAAAATATTTTCAGTAAATAAACTAATAATCTTTGAAATATCAATATTGACCTTACATTTAGCTCCTATGAAAAAATAATCTAAGAGCCAGACAAATCTACTTCAATAACTTAAGTCATTTGTTGTTCTTTTTGTTAACATAACATTGGAGAAGAAAATATTAGTCAGAGAAAATAAGCAATTAATTGAACAAGAATATTTGTGATAAATACAATGATATAATAATGTAAGCATCCTGTTTGAAACAATTTTCCAGAAAACAAGCCAACTAGTATTGAACAAACTTATGAAACAAATATTCAAAAATAGTTATTGAGAAACAATGGCCAACTAAGCTAACTGTATTTACTAGGTTCAAGCCCAGTGGCCAGCGCTTTCCTCATATTTTCAAAAATAAGACAACCATTGTTTAAAAAAATTAAAAAGTAACAAGCCTTGATAAAACACTTTCAAAAATTACGCAGAAAAACATGCCACCTGGTATTGAACAAACTTATGAAATAAATATTCAAAAACAGTTATTGCAAAATATTTCTGTTCAATAACTTTCCAAATCATTGTCCTAAAAATATGGAAAATGTTAGTGAATGAACATTTCAGTAAAAAAAAAATTGAATAATCTGTTGTTATTGCTTAAAAGGTTAAAGTTGTCACAAAAAAATCTGAAATAAATGAATAAGTATCAAAAAAACAACCTAGCAGTTATTGAAAAAAGTTCTGACTTCAGAAAATATGCAATACAATAATGGCTAAATGTTAAAATGAGATCGGCTTAAAGTAAATATAAAATATTTGGAAATAAGCGACCAGTTATTAAAATATTTTAGGAAATAAGATAGTAGCACCCTGCTATTACTATTATGAAAAATTACATAATATACACTGTAGTTGTTGAAGCTACATTTGGGATAAGGTAGCGGCAAAACATTATCAAAATTGAGGCAATAGTTACTAAAACATGCCACAGAAAATAAGGTAACAGTTTTTTAAAAAAAATGTTTGGGGTTATAAAGCAAATATTTAGTTTCTAACTTACTATTACCTTACAAAAAACAATATAAAAGGCAAATTTCACCTTATTACCCAAGAAATTCATTAAATAAGAATTTTCTTATTTTCTTTATACTTCTTTAATAGCTAATATTCATCCTTTGGAAAACATGATACAAGTATGGTGACTATTACATTGTCTTTCAAACCTTATTATTTTGTCATTTCTAACTGTCAGAATAGATGGCAAAAATAACTCCAACATGTTTCAGATAATATTTTAAGATTTTAAGATTTTTCTAATACCTCCATTGCAGCACCTTTTTTTTACAAACCTTGAAAGTTCATCTTCCTCAAATGCCCTTTTGACAACTAAATGCTCATTTTCAAGACAACACAAAAGTTTACTTTTCGAAAAATATTTCAGAATTATTTACAACCCTTTGGCAAACACTAGTTGTTGAAATAGTATTTGAAGAAAAAATAGTTCTTCAAACAATATTCCTAAAGTGAGCATATGCTTTTAGATAGCTGAGACTGAAATGTGTGTTAACTAAAATTCTTAGCTGGTAGCTATCTAAATATTGTACATGAATATCATTAAATAGTTTTGAAAAATAAAAAATTTAGAGCATACTGTAGTTCCTAACAAAGAAGTTTGACAGGTAAGTAATTTTTATCAATAAATATTCCAGAAAACCAAATGGTTTTTGAAAGATTCAGAAAATAAGCTAAGTAAATACTTTTTGGGGAACTAAACTACACGGAAAATTAAAGCCACTTTTTTAATATGAATAATCTATCACAAATTTAGTTGTCATAAAGTTATATATGCATTCCAGTGATCTATTAGTCTAATAGTCATCAAAATCATATTTGGAATTCATATTTGAGGAAAATATTAAACTAGTCTAAAAGTTTTTGAAAAAAATATTTCAAAAAATTAAAAAAAGTAAATTAAGCTTTCACACATATTTTTCAAATGAAGCAAAACATGACATTCCATAACTGTAGGCTCATATTCCAAAATACATGTCTGAACATTTCTGAAACAACTGTAGCCTAATTTTTCCAAAACATTTAAATGATATATATTTATGTACTAACATTGTGATGGCTACAACGGATTAGCTCACTTTCCTAATATTTTTCTCACAGCGGTTCTACTTAAGTCATAGGAACATTATTACATAATTATTTTATCAAAAATTTCTTAACTATTAGATATCTAAAATATTTTGAAAAATAACTCATTTGGCTTTCAAAAATTATGTATGAGGAAACTAACATTAGTTGTTGAAATAATAATTATTTGAAGAAAAAATAGTCTTCAAACAACATTCCCAAAGTGACCATATAGATAGTTGATACTGAAATCTGTGTAAAAATTCTTAGCTAATAGCTATCTAAATATTGTACACAAATAGCATTAAATAGTTTTGACAAATAAAAAAAAATAGAATATAAGTTAACATACTGTAGTTCCTGACAATGTAGTTTGCAAAGTGAGTAATTTTTATAAATAAATATTCAAGAGCACCAAACGGTTTTTTGAAAGATTCAGAAAATAACCTTATAAAATAAAAATTTGGGGGGGACTTAACTACAATGAAAATTTAAGCCACTTTTTAAATATAATCCATCACAAATTAGTTATCATTCATGAAGGTACATGTAAAAATGCATTTCAGTGATCTTTTAGTCTAATAGTCATCAAAATCATATTTGGAAAAATTCATATTTGAGGAAAATAAACAAGTCCAAAAGTTTGAAAAATATTTCACAAAACTAAATACTGTACATGCAGCTATCACCCAGTCGCACATTTTTATAATGAAAATAACGTTACATTTAGTAACTTAACGCTCATATTCCAAAATACTTATGTCTGAAACATGTTTGAAATAATTGTAACCTAATTTCCAAAAACATTTAAATGATAATTATATACCAATATTGTAGTGAGGTCCTACATAACTATGCATTAGCTCACTTTCCTGGTGTCCTTCTCACTGTGGTTCTACCGAGCGTAATATGACTATCACCATAATTGTTTCTTTACAATTAGTTTAGAAAAAAAATTGCTACTTTTTTAAAAATGTATGATGAAAATTGTCTAATGGGTATAGAAACATATTTCTTTAAATGTATGCTTTGAGCAATTATCAAAACATTTTTGGAAAATGAGCTTCTAGCTAACAAAAGATGTCCAGAGGAAGATTGTAAGAAAAACTTAACTTACCTCAGTCATCACATATCGAAGGTCTGAGTAATTCTCACCAAAATCATTCCCATCCTAAAGTAAGAACTAGTAATCAACATCTAACCTCTTATAATCATATATAACTATAACATATATAATTGACCACTTCAATGATGTCACACTCTTCCTGTTTTTCATTCAATCAAAATATCAGCCTCCCCACTTGATTTTTAATGCAGAGTTTAGTTAATTATGCAAAGTTTTATACGAATCTGTCACAGACTCATGAAAATATGGGCCCCTAAGTTTGGGACCCCATGTTTCCATGAGTTTGTAACAGATTTGCATGAAACTTACCATATTTACTAACTTTGGAATGATAAATTGATCAGTGGAGGTGCTTTTATTCAATATGGCCAAAAGAAAGTATTATTGATATTGCATATAGACTGCGGATGTCTCCATAAAGCTATTTGATATCAGGAGACAAGCTCAATCTGTTAACTTGTTTCTGTTTGTTTGGGGTGTTTTTTATACTTTCTCTTACTTTGTTGCTTGTTTTGTTTTGATTTCATTCTCTTTTCAAAGAAGAGCTATTTCACAAGCTTGTCTAGTAGTAATATCAAGTGTTGAAGACAATCTTTGGATGAGTGTTATTACCTTGTACAAACTTAAAAAGCTGACAAAGTCTGCAAGGGAGCTGATTACAAGACTACGAAGCTGTGTTGACATGAGTGCTGCAAGACAAGCAAAGAACTGCTGCACAAGAGCTGTAGAATCACTCTCTGAGCTAGGTACCAAGTGCATCCACTCTTGACGTTCGTCAATAAGGATTTGAGCACATGCAGGAATCCACCTAAACCAGAAGAAAAAATCAACATTGATATTCATTAGGCTTACTGAAAGTATGATGTCCTAAGGAGAAAAAGGTATAAAATGGAAGGTACTACTGAGATAATAAGTGATTTTACCTGTAAGTTATTTGAAGGAATAATAGCTGTTTTGAAAGTATTGCAATGACTGGTATATATTAACTGTGCTCAAAGCAAGAAACTAAATTCAAGATTTGCATTGATTAGCCATTTTACTTCAAAAGTTGCCAGATCTGAACTATGTACTGATGACAGTCAATATGACTTGAAACAAGTCCCAATATCTTTTTGTGGTTACACTGAAGCTAGCAATCAGTGATTTGGTTCAAAGGCAAAGATCAAGAGTTTGTGAATATAAATATTACACAATATTATTATGTGAATGAACATCTGCTTGAGTTTACTACCTAAATCTTATGAAACTACGTTTTAGCTATTTTACTCAGTGTAAAAACATCAGAATATGTTGTGGGTTTTCATTTGTTCTTGTTTTAAAATTTGATTTGAAAAATTTGTCACCAGAAATGAATACCCTGGCTAATATTAAAAATAGCTACAGAGAAAATTATAACCAAATGAATATTCTCCACACTTACGTTCTTTTGAGGAATTCTCTTGTCTTTGTGCACTGTTGTTTGACAAGAGATTCAAACTCTGCAGGAGTGACAGGCAGACCTGATGCAAACAGCTTGTCACCATCAACAAACCTAATCTCTGAAAATCTGAAGAAAGTAATCAAGCAATTACTAGTGACAATTAATGGTATTACATGGATAATCATAGCAATATTTGCTAGTGATAATATAATCTGCACAGGTGGTAAAATTCATGATTACTGGATTTATGACAAACCATGGGTAAGTTTACATGTAGTTGCAGGGCTGTCAATATACAGCACAGGAAAAAAAAATTGAAATCCAGTTGCCCAGTCAACCAGTAAATTTCAGTTTTCACTTGCCCTAACTTAAATATTACTTGCCACCCTGCCAGTCAGTATAGAAATCAGAGGACAAATACAAACAAGGCATGCTTGGATTCTTAACTAATCCATGCTTTTGAAATCCAGTTGCCCAGTCGACCAGTAAATTTCAGTTTTCACTTGCCCTCACTTAAACAGTACTTGCCGACCTGCCGGTCAGTATAGAAATCAGAGGACAAATATGAACAAAGCATGCTTGAATTCCTAACTAATCCATGCTTTCAAACTAATGGTTAACTAATGTTTCAGTCTTACATTTTGAAATACATGTAGCTTCTGACTGGAAATAAATCAGTTACCAAGCTGACATTTTAATTCAGACTCACAACACTACTGACGCTAATTTCACTTGCCCAACGGGCCACTGAACTAATTCATTTTCACTTGCTCAAGACAAGAGCAAAGATTAAGGCTAAAGTGAATGAAAACTTAATGGCAACCTGACTTTGTTTGTAATTATCTGGGACATGAAACTTTAAACTGTTATTTTTTATTTTTTATTTTTTTGTTATCTTTTCAAGCTCTAAATACCGCACACACATGAAAGTGCATTTCTTTACCCCTTTTAACAAACTTGATGGTTAAAAATAAAAGATGACAAAAGACTCCCACACACCTGTCATACCAGAGGTTCTGAATTTTCATCATCACTGGATTAGTGATGAAAAGATTCTTTGTGCATGACTCTTTTGCTGAACGATAAGAGTTGTGCCATGGAACAGGTGCCCTGACTGTCCTGCAAGAATTGCAAATCACATCTCGTTATCATTGTTGTAGTTAAATTTATAATGTTTATCACTTAGCCCAAGTGTTTGAGTGTAAGCATTCCAAACGCAAACTGTTGTTCAGTACTAAATTGCTGTTAGTAGTGAGTTGGTGAAGATGATGTTTCCAGTTTTAGCCCATCATCAGAGCAAGCTTGGTGCTGATAAAGGGCTAACACTCAAAACATCAGTGCAGTCTCTGTCAAGTCAAAGAGAAGAGTATTCAAGATTTATCTTTAGTTAATAGTTGCACTGGCTTAATGGATACCTCTATGGAAAAGCTTTTGGTGTCTCTTTGATGAAAATACTTTGGTTTTTAATGGAGAACTTTGGTTAAACTAAACACTTAATGTTACACTTGATCATTACTTAACTCAGTTGTCTGAATCATGATTAAAACATGATTGCATCCATTATACCTATATAGGTCTGGAGTCTTTCAGTAGTCACTTACTTTGGGTACCCCCCTAGGTAGTGCATGATGCAATCTTCACTTACTCATGACTTTTTTTTGAAAACTGCAGTCCTTATGCATCATGGCTCTGCACTTAAAATCCTAGAATAGTTTAGTTTAAAGATGGTCTTTTTCTTAGTTCTCATGAATGTGGAACGACCCCCATATAGATATTTGATACTGAAATCTGTGTAAAAATTCTTAGCTAGTAGTCATCTAATAAATATTGTACACAAATATTATTGAATAGTTTTGACAAATAAAAAAAATAGAATATAAGTTAATATACCGTAGTTCTTACAGTGTAGTTTGCAAGGTAAGTAATTTTTATAAATAATTATTCCAGACCACCAAATGGTTATTGAAAGATTCCGAAAATAAGCTAAATATCTAAATACTTTTTTGGGGGAACTTAACTACAAGGGAAATTAAAGCCACTTCTTTCAAGTATAATCTATTGTGAATAAGTCATTGTCAAAGTACATCTGCCTGTGCTCGCAAAAATATAGCCACAGGATTTGACTTGTCACTGATAATCCTGATACAATTCTGTCCTGGAGCTAGCTTTCCACATAAGGCTTATCGTAGCTCAAATAAAAGGAAATGACACTCCTGTGCGCCTTTTGAGGCTAGGAAGACTAAACTGCAGTCTGTTCATTGAATCATGAATTTCAAGATGAAATTCGAGTCTAAATTCCAATGCAAACTGTTGTTCAGTACTAAATTGCTGTTAGTAGTGAGTTGGTGAAGATAATGTTTCAAGTGTTAGCCCTTCATCAGAGCAAGCTAATGGTTCTGGTAAAGGGCTAACACTCAAAACATCAGTGCAGTCTCAGTCGAGTCAAAGAGGAAAGTATACAAGATTTATCTTAATACATGTAGCTGCACCAGTTCAATGAATACCTCTGTGGAAAAGCTTTTGGTATTTCTTTGATGTGCAGTCTTTGTCTCTCGCATGGATCCATGAGAATGTAGTCAACTGCAAAGACAATGAAAACACTTGATATGAATTAAATATTGTCTCAACCTTCAGCTAAATCAATGAATGAGTAAGTTAGGGAGAACCAAAAGATTTGAGCATGCTGATTTAAGTTTAACTATCTTCAAGGATTTAAGCGAACCACATTAACATATTCCTGATGAGTATAAATTTAATACAACTATAACACCTAGATAGCCATGCAATCAAATATTATACTGTACACATGTATCTGCCAGTTCCTGCAGGAAGTCTTTTGATTTAAACATTACAGATGATGAAGGAAGGTAGTCTGACTGGCACAACAGATAGAAAGCTATTTGAGCATATGACAGCTACCTTCAAAGAGTGCATGCAAACCCCTGACTTCGGGGATGTCAAACTGAAATTTGAGACTATATTAAAAACATTTTTGTACTTTAAAGAAGTACCAGTACATGTACTGTAATATATTAAGGATATGATGGACTTGTTCCCAATTTGGAGACTCATTACTGTCTGTTATTGTTTCGCATTTAACAAATAAGTTTGCTACAATTACCACATTTTTAAAATGTAAATTTTTAACTCCATCAATTAGTGAAAACATGTTGACTTATTTCCTGCAGATATCACACTGTCCCTTTAACTCACCGATAGACTTGCGAACACTGAAGTCATAATCACCAACCACTTCTTGCTTGAGCTTTGTGATAAGTGGATCAAGTTCTGCATTCCGTGTCAGCTTTTCAGGGATTCTTTTGTGCAGGATTCTGTCCATTACTTCCTGGTCCTGTGCTGCAAGGGAGTGGTCTGGTACTCCATGAGAAATGTAGTATTCGTAACGCTGTAAAAACAAACATAATGGTTATTAAATAAGTGGTAAATTTTGGAGGAGTCTCCATTTATAGAGGATTCAGTTCTACTTATATTTATCAATTTTGAAGTAAAAGGCTTAAGCCGAGAGCATCTACTCTTAAGGCTTTATGTTTCATGCTCACCTCTAAATCACGTTTCGAGACTCCTTCGTCATCCATGCTTTCCACAGCTTCAACAGATCTTATAATATCTAACTGTTGTGCAGGAGTCATGGCGCGACTGGGTGGCAGTCTAATAGAAATAAAAGAGACAGCTTATTATCATAAGGTCATTGTTTAGTTCCAGAAAATATCCATACCTCCCCAAGAGAAGGGATTTTTTCTAACACCCCCTTTTTCCCTCTAGAAAATCCGATTAAGCTTCATACATTTCTTTAAATTTTGGGGGGAGGGGTTTATGGACACCCTCTCCCCCCCCCCCCCCCC